AATGGCTTCTCTTCCAGTTCCTGTAACCTCTGGTGTCACTGACCATTGGAACTTGCTACTTTCCCATTTCTATTCACGTGCTACTCCTTAGCATCATCCTCTGAAAACAGTCTTCCTATGTACTTTGATGCACAGCTCTAGCAGTACCACTCGATGCATCCACTGTTGCTAAATTACTCGACTGCTTTGTGAATGTCCAGTGATGATCCAGAAATCATATCTCATTAAATACTGGGAAGATCACAGCCGTTATCTGAAGACCGTCCTCCAAACACAAATACCCATCTCATCCCTCTCCACGGCATCTATCTGATTCTAAGCCAGTTTGAGAGAGACTTTGGTGTCACATTTGATCCTGGGTCAAGTTGCTGACCTTATATATGCTCTATCTAAATTCATATTTGACTCAACCCATCTGCTTCTGAGGCCCTCAGTCAAGCCTCTGTCACCCTAGACTTCACCCCTCCATTGTATGCCTGGCTGATTTCCCACATTCCACCATCCTGAAGCTTGAGACCTTCCAAAACTCTCACCAAGTCTGTTCACTCACTGATCATCCTATTACTCCCTGACCTGCTCTGGTTTCTGATCAAGCTCCACCTCGACTTTAAAATGTTCATCCTTGTGTTTAAACACATGTGGTCTCACCTCTGTCTCTGTAGTTCTGATCTTGAACTTGCCCTGTTTTTATCATTTCACCACAGACAAGCCTGTCTTCGCCTGCCTTGTCCTGAATTTGGGAATTTTCTCCCTACACTTCTCCGCCTTCCCTTCCTGCCTTGGTGATGCTCAGTAAAACCTAGCTTTTTGATTAAGCTTTTGATCAGCTGATCCAACAACTCACTGTATGGCTCCATTTCTTTTAATAATTTTCTTTTTATCCTTGCATTGGGCGTTACCAGTTGGAACAGCATTTACTGCTACCCCAGATCCCACCACTCCCTAAAAATGGTCCTGGAGTTGAGTGTCTTGCTGGGCCATTTCAGAGGATAGTTAAGAAGCAACTACATTGCTGTGGGTCTGGAGTCACATGTAGGCCAGACCAAGTAAGGATGGCAGATTTCCTTCCCTAAAGGACATTACTGAACCAGGTGGGTTTTTCTGAGAATAGCTTTCACTTCCAAATTGTTTATATAATTGAATTTATTAATTATGTTAAAGGCACTATCTAAATTAATGTTTTGTTGCTGGCATCTTTTCCCAACAAAAGTCTACCATGCTCAATCTTGAAAACCGTTTCCCAAAGAAAATTCGTTAAAGACTCTGGAAAACTGTAGCCAAACCCAGGGCCAAACATGGAGAGACTCCCCCTTTTAATAAATACACACATATTTAGTTTGCAAACTGTTAGCAGCAAAATGTCAAACCACATTTAAATTGGTCTGAATAAATCCAAAATGACAGTCTGATTGTATTGCATGCTATCTCTCCATATTCCAGCCCTTTGATTGGAGTTCAGATATTCAAATTGAGAAGACCGTGCAAATGTGACCTCTGGATTTGATGATGTGCAATCAGATTCACAAAAAGGGAGGATACTCAAAGTAAATCAGGGGAAAAGCAGTGAACCACAGTTTAAAAAAAATTCAAAGCAACTGTTCTATCATTGTAACCCATCACTGACATGAAGCAGCACAGATTAACCCTTCTGTGGACTCAATATCTTTCAGAACTTGCACGTTAACTGACAACAATTTCCTGTGGATAAGAAACACAGGAGGATAACAACTTGGGGAGGGGGGGGGTGGTGTGACAAGCTGCTGCCTACATTAAACTGACATGGTTAATGGCAGATACCAGGTGACTAGTTAAAGGTTCAAAAGGAAACAATTTAAAGCAAGGACAAAGAAAATAAATATGATGGAAGCTCTGAGCTTGATCAATGTGAGGTTTAGTGATGTACACCACAGCTGAATAAATCTCTAACATGGCAGCAAGGGAAGGGGCTGTGTGTTTGCCCGCAGTCTAATATCAAACCTTGGCCCAGGTCCAACAGAGGGCACTGAAGGCCTGGATTCTTGTGGACTGCCAAGGGGCTCAGGTGGTTGTCCTGACAAGAGCACTTAAGGTTCAAGGACAGCAGTGACGTTATTCTGAGCTAATCTCTGTCCCTTACCTCCACCCCTGCATAACCCCAGCAGATGAACAGATCAGATGCACAACGGCAGGTGCTGGTTGAGTTTATTCTACTCCACAGGACTCTACTGCAACAGAAGTCACTTTGAACAGCAGTGACCCCGAGGCATGGGGTAATAACCCCATACTGATTCAAGAGGCTACACTACAAACTGACAGGCAGAACATTTCTCTGGGCAACAGTCCTCAAGACATTAGAGAGCCCTTCATTTGGAACCAGAGAACTCTTAACCAGGGCACGTTTTATAGTGTGTAAACAGAGACAAACCAACACCTCATCCACATTTACATCTTAACACTGAAATGAGACTGAAAATAAAACACTGGGTCTGGGGCGTAAATTATTACTTTAATAAAGTCCTTAGAATGGTACAGCCCTGGAGGCAGCCATTCAGTGCCTTGTCAGCTGTTTGATTGAGCTATCCAAATGATTCCACTTCCCTGATCTTTCCCCTTAGCTTGTGATTCTTACTCCTTCAAGTATTTCCTCCAAATCATTTGCAAAGTTCCTCTTGAATTTGCTTTTGCAGCCAATCAGGCAGGGCACATTGTGATAAAATCCTTAATCTTGAGTCTGCAAATGTGTTTCTAGAATTCACACTGACATGTTAAAATAAAACCCACCGATTTCTTCTTCTTGGCTGGAGATTAATTGATTAAAGCTCTCCCAGTCTCCAATAGGGAAATACAATTGAGGGTGATGAACTGCCCCTTGGTTAAGGCTCAGATGAGACTATCCATGGGTGAAAAGCCCAATGTGGGGTTAGGGTTCTGGGCTTTCTCATGTTTGTGTGTATGCTGAGGAGCTCACACTCTGCCACCCACTCGGGAGGCAATGACAGGCAGGTCACTGGTAAGCCAATGGACTCCTGTCATTTACATCAAAACATACGAAATCGGAGAAGTAGGCCTCTGGCCCCTCGAGCCTTCTCCGCCAGTCAATAAGATCATGGCTGCTCTTTTCAGCTCCACTTACTGGCCCACTCACCACAACCCTTAATTCATTCACTGTTTAAAAAAAATCTACCTTTGCCTTAGAAACATTCAATGAGCTAGCCTCAACTGCTTCACTGGCCAGGGAGCTTGAAGACTCTGGATCCAACTGGATAAATCCCCACCCTGGAGATCCTCCACATCTAATCCGAGCAATCCTCTAACATGAACCCCACATACCAGACCCAGAGGTATCCTCTCTCTACCCATTCCAGCTGATTATTATCTCACTAACACTGGCATAGAACATAAGAACCAGGAGCAGGAGCAGGCCAGCAGGCCCATCGAATCCGGTCCGCCATTCAGCAAGACCATGGCTGATCTTTTCATGGCCTCCGTTCCACTTCCCACCCTCTCGCCATAACTCTTTAATTCCTTTATATAATTCCTTTACTATTCAAAAAATTATCGATCTTAGCTTTAAAAACATCCAATGAGGAAGCCTCAAATGCTTCACTGGACAGGGAATTTCACAGATTCACACCTTTTTGGATGAAGAAGTTCCTCCTCAATTCAGTTCCAAATCTGCAGCCCCTAATTTTGAGGCAATGCCCTCATGTTCTAGTTTCACCCGCTAGTGGAAACAACCTCCCTGCTTCTATCTTATCTATTCCCTTCATAATGTTATACGTTTCTATAAGATCCCCCTCATTCTTCTAAGTTCCAATGAATATTATCCCACTCTATTCAGCCTCTCCTCATAAACCAACGCTCTCTGGAATCAACCTAGTGAACCTCCTCTGCACCCCCTCAAGTGCCAGTACATTCTTTCTCAAGTAAGGAAACCAAAACTGTACACAGTACTCCAGGTTTGGCCTCACCAGCACCCTATACAGCTGCAACATAACTACCCTGCTTTTAAACTCAATCCCTCTAGCAATGAAGGAAAAAATTCCATTTGCCTTCTTAATTACCTGTGGTACCTGCAAACCAACCTTCTGCGATTCATGCACAAGGACACCCAGGTCCCTCTGCACAGCAGCATGCTGCAATTTTTTACCGTTCAAATAATACCCTTTTATTATTATGCCGACCAAAATGGATGATTTCACATTTATCAACATTGTACTCCATCTTCCAGATCTTTGCCCATTCACTTAAACTATCTATATCCCTCTGCAAACCTTCAGAGTCCTCTGCACACTTTGCTCTACCATTCATCTTAGTATCATCCGCAAACTTTGACACACTACGCATGGTCTCCATCTCCAAATCATCTATGTAAATTATAAACAATTGCAGCCCCAACACTGATCCCTAAGGCACACCACTAGTCACTGTTCACCAACCAGAAATACACTTGTTTATCCTCACTCTTTGCTTTCTGTTAGTCAACCAATCCTCGATCCATGCTAATACATTACACCATAACACCATAACACCATGCACCTTTATCTTATGCAGCAGCCTTTTGTGTGGCACCTTGTCGAATGCCTTCTGGAAATCTGGATACACCACATTCATTGGATCCCCATTGTCCATCATGCTTGTAATGTCTTCATAGAATTCCAGCAAATTAGTCAAGCATGACCTGCCTTTCATGAACCCATGCTGTGTCCACCCAATGGAGCAATTTCTATCTAGATATCTAGCTTTTCTCCCTTGATGGTAGATTCCAGTTGTGGCAGCCACACCTTCAGCTGCCGAAGGCTAAAGCCACAGAATTCCTTCTAAATGGGCACACTTCCCGACATGCTATAAAACCTAGCTCTTAGACCAACCTATCAGTCATGAGCTCAAATTTATCAACGCAGCTCGCTCTTACAAAGAACATGTGGATGTTCAATTGTGTTAAAGGTACTATACAAATGCTGTTTGTATGTGCTCTCAGGCAGGTGTGTTAATGAGATGGGAGGAATAGGTTACCGTACCTGGTCGGACAGCACTCATCACTGCCCGTGATGCTTTCAGAACAGCCTGGTAGATATCGCGCTGGTCAGGAGTGAACTTGCCATTGGCTGGAAATGAGCAGGTGATGTCAGAACCATAGCAATAATATTCACCGCCCATATCAAAGAGGCTGAAAATATAAAAACAGTGTATTGGTAAAAGATAATCACAAAGTTTCTCAGCAGGAGCTAAATTCAAAGCAACGTTTAAGTTAGGTTAGGTACAGCACAAGGTTACAATGGAGTAAAGCTCCCATCAAACACTCCCAGGACAGGGACAGCACAGGGTTAGATACAGAGTAAAGCTCCCTCTACACTGTCCTCCACACCCATCAAACACTCTGGTACAGGGATGAGGTTAGATACGTATCCCCATCGAACATTCCCAGGACAGTATTGATCATGTCTGACTGTTGCTGTAAATGCCCAGGTGTTACACCCAACTCCTTTATTAGATCGTCATCTATTACTGAAATGAGCTGGTGCCAATTTTTCCCTGCAACTGCTCTCCTCCTTCGCTGAAGGCACTGAGTCTTGCTGGGGCAGGCAAGGAGACATACTCTTGTGTGAAAATGATTCAAATTCAGATTGGCATGTCCTATGCAGCCAGGGAGAAAAATCACAGCAATACCTGATTAGACAGACGACATGAACTGAAACTCAGGACACACATCCAGCTCATATCATCATCAGCAGCAGCGTCAGCAAGTCAATGCCAGTTCTGGAATCTAATCTCACAAATACGAGGGATAGGAAGGAGCACCCAGGGAGGGAGGAAGGATGGAAACACACTTGAGAGAAAGACAGAGGTTGAGAAATGAAGGAGGACATTATATGAGCACAGGAGCAAAGAGGAGACCATTTCAACTCTCAGTGAGACAGTGACTAGTCCCTAACATAACTCGCCTTTCCCAAATCATCTTCACATATTTGGAGAATATAAATCTATGAATTTTTTTTTTTAAAAAACTAACCATTGAACCAGCACTGATTACAAATTTCCCCACTCTTTTGTTTGAAATCTTTCCTAATTTCACCCTGAGAGGTCTGACTCTAATTAGGTGATGCCCCCAGGTTCTGGACTTCTCATCCTCTATATTGTTTGTTATCACAAAAAGGAGACCAGCACTGCATACAGTACTTTACATGAGATCTATCAAGATCTGTATAATTACAGAAAATGTTCCAAAGTTTTGAACTAGTGTCATATCTGACTGGACTCATGCACTCTGATTCTCTCTGCACAGATGCTGTCAGACCTGCTGAGTTTCTCCAGCACTTTCAGTTTATATTTCTGATTAAGGGCCTGTTTTCAAGAGGTAAATCCGAGCCTGAGCAAAGGGGATTGTCTTATGGTGACACGGTGGCTCAGTGGTTAGCACTGCTGCCTCACAGTGCCAGGGACCCGGGTTCGATTCCACCCTCGGGCGACTGTCTGTGTGGAGTTTGCACATTCTCCCCGTGTCTGTGTGGGTTTCCTCCGGGTGCTCCAGTTTCCTCCCACAGTCCAAAGATGTGCAGGCTAGGTGGATTGGCCATGGGAAATTGCCCATAGTGCCCAGGGATGTGTAGATTAGGTGGGATATAGGGGTCTGGGTCTGGGTGGGATTCTCTGGGGGTCAGTGTGGACTTGTTGGTCCAAAGGGCCTGTTTCCATGCTGTAGAGATTCTATGATCTATGTTGGACCTACGTTCACTGGGGCTTCAAAGAATGGGAGGTGATCTCATTCAAACATTAAAGATTGTGACTGGGGTTTGACAGGTAGGCCCCTGTGGGGGAACCTAAAACCAGAGACTCCCCAGTTGGTCTCCCAGTTAAGACTATGTTGTGCGGAATCTTTTCTCAAAGGGCTATTATTGTTTGGAATTCCCTCCTACAAATAGCAGTGCAGGTTGGTTCAGTGAATACATTCAAAGGGGAGTTCAACAGATGTTTGATCTAAAAGGGAGGTCAAGAACTATGGGACAACAATAGGAAAGTGAAGTTGAGATCAGATCTGCCATTGTCCTATTGAACAACAGAGCAGGCTAGAGGAGCCAAACAGTCTGCTCCTCTTGCATTATGTGTGTTATTTCCTGTTCTCAAATAGTATGAGATGATAGCACAACTGCATTCATGGTTATTTTCTTTGATCCGGGGCTCTGATCAATTCATGAACGTGAAGGCCCCAACAAGACAGAAGAAGTGCCCCAAACAGTTAAATGTCATCAACCAAAGCTCACCTTTGACATCACATAAATGTTCTGAGGCACTCCACAAGAACAATCATTCAGCAAACTCTGAAAGGTGAGATGTAAGAAGTGTGGGGACAAGCTTGGTTGAAGAGGAAGGTTTTAGGGAACATCTTAAAGAAGTCAAAGAGGCAGAACGGTTTAGGAAGGGAATTCCAGAGCTGAGGGCCTTTGAAGAAACAGCTACCAAGGATGACCTGATGCCAACTGGAGATGTGTAAAAGGCCAGAAAACGAGTGCAGCAATCTGAAAGCTGTAGAACTGGAAGGAGTCACAAAGACAGGGAAGGACAAGGTTCAGAGCTTGTCTGGAAATAAGGTGGACAATTTTAAAATCAAGTTGTCGACTTGGAGCCAATGTACATATGATTTGATAGCGTGAGATGGGAGGGCAATAGGTCACTGTCATCTTGTGAAGACAGTATGCCTCAATTTGACATAACATGCTGCATTTGATCACACCTTGATACAGACTGGAAGTAGGTCAGAGTTAGAATACATCAAAGACTTAAAGTTTGTGGAAGAACTCTCCATACAGTGTCAAGGCACACTGTGACTCAGCTGTAAAACACACATTGTACAAATATGGACTGCTGCCAAGCTCAGCCCTTTGTAGAAAAGGACGGAATTACCTACATTGACCTTTCATTCCAAACTGCTGTGCACGTCATCATTCTGTTCCCAAGCCTGAATCACCAACATTTAAGCAGATCCATTCAACTTTAAATATTTCTAAGAGCTAGTCTCAATTTTTGGAGCAGCCCAGTGCAAATGGCTTTATATTTTTATGTGAATATTTACAAGCAGCTATAGAGTCATAGAGTCAGGTCCAACTCGTCCATGCTGACCAGACATGCCAATCTGACCTAGTCCCACTTGCTAGCATTTGGCCCATATCCCTCTAAACGCTTCCTGTTCATATACCCATCCAGATGCCTTTTAAATGTTGTAATTGCACCTACCTCAATCACCAATTTGACATTTGTGGAACTTGCAGGGATGGGAGGTCCCAGGAAAGTGTCTCTGTCTGCCTGGCACACACAAAGCCAACGCTGCGCTTCTCCAAGAATCTTCCCACTGAGCTGGGAACCCACAGGCAGGGCTCCCATCTGCCAAGTACTGAATGAGAACTCTAGGCTCTAACTGAGAAGGTAGATACAGACGGTCAGCAGCAGAGTTTTGCAACCCCTGAGCACTCAGGCCACCAGCATTCATTTATAAAGTGTCTTTTATCACCTCATAATATCCCAAAGAACTTTCCAGTGAAAGTATTTTTAATGAATAATTACTGTTCTAATATAGAAACCCTGTAGTTACTTGCACAGCAAGCTCCCACACAGGAAAGAGACATTAACCCGATAATGTTTTAGTCATGTTGGTTGAGAACTTCACTATCGTAAGAATGACACAGCACAGGAGGATGCCATTCCACTCGTTGTGGCTGGACTGGTTTTCCCTGTGACTCTGTAGGCTTCTCCTTCCTAAGCCTTTATCCAGTTCCCCTTTGAAAGTTATTATTGAACCGGTTTCCATTGTCCTTTCAGGCAGCATGTTCCAGATCTTAACTTGCAGCGACTTTCCACAGGGACGTTGAAGTCTGTGCCTTCTCATTACTGACTCCTTATGATACTACAAACAGTCACTGTAAAAACTTTCACATCCGCTTAAGGGAACAGACTTGGTTTCATGTCCCATGTCTCCCTCCCCCTCAACCCAATCGAGATATCTTTGTTCACCAAAAGACACCAGGGTCTTCCTTCCCTCAAACACTGCACAGCAACACCATCGCCAATGTCAGCTGTTTCAGTCTCCCAACACAGACTCAGCTCATCTTACTCATTGAAGGGAGCAAGGTATTGGAGCAAATTACTGCAGATGCTGGAATCTGTACTGAAAACAAAAAGTGCTGGAAATCACAGCAGGTCAGGCAGCATCCATGGAGAGAGAGTAAGCTAACGTTTCGAGTCTAGATGACTCTTCATCAGGGCTGACGTAAGCTTGCTCTCTCTCCATGGATACTGCCTGACCTGAAGTACGTTCGATTGAAGTGCATGGGATAGCATTAAGAAGTGACTGTCACAATGTCAGATCACTCCAGTTGTGAAGCTAACTCGACATGCAACAGGACCACCACAGAACAGCTGAGCAGGTTCAAGGGGCTGAATGGCCTACTCCTCTTCCTGCTCCATAATGGGCTATTTCCTCTGATTGAGGGTGCATATGTGGGTATGAGTGTGCGTGCGTTAATTCTAGAACAAAGGGACAGGATTTCAAAGTGAGAGCCAGGAGCTCAGTGGCAGCGTCAGGAAGCACTTTCTTACACAAGGGGTACTCGGAATCTGGAATTCTCTCTCCAGAAAGATGTTGATTCTGGGGGTTAATTTAAAAAATTCAAAACCGAGATGCACAGATTTGCTTAATGGTACTAAGGGTCATGGGTTAAGATACTAGTCAAGCTAGTCTCCAAATTAATGGAGGAATATGATCAAGGGCCCAAATGATTCCCCCTCTCTACCTCACCCAGGACAGCATTTCCCTTCACAAGATGGGGAGAATCTATTCTCCCCAGGAAGTAAGTGCCACAGTGTCAGCCCAAACCCTTGTTATCAGGACAATCACTAAGAGAAGGTGTTCCATCTCTCCTAGATTCTTGCTGGTGATCATGGAGATTGGAATGTTGCTTAACCAGAGTGCACAATGATTTGAGTAACCAAACCTGCCAGCAACCACAACTCATGTGAGCAACTACCAGATTCACAATTAACCCTCTTTCTGCTGGAAAACTTACAGCTTTGAAAACAGTCAAAGGGTTCAGTCAATAACTCAGTCAGTCCTGATGGTCATTCCTCCAAGCCAGTGAGTGCCCTTCCTGGTGCCCAGGCTGTGCTGAGCTCTAGATT